TTGTCCTGACCTTGATGACGCCATTCAGAGTCAAACCAATGTTATCATCTTATGTCCCCCCTCGAAACCCTACAATTTTTGTCTGAAATATTTTTCTCTCAAATCTCGCGATTTCCAAATATTTGACTATCAAATATAAAATGGAATCCTGTATATATACATATATACAAGTTATTGCGAGTAATATCATCACATGTCTCTGTAGTCGAATGGTAGGATGCCTGCCCGGCAAGTGGAAAGATCCAGGTTCGATTCCTAGCTGAGGTGATATTTTTCACAATTACAAATTTGAAGGCGTATCTTATAAATATTCCTTGGCATCTTACAGATGCTTGTTGGCATCAAAAATATTAAATTGCTCGTCAATTTAATTCGTTACAACGGATTCCAGCTTAGCTTCATGTAAGAATTGTGTTTTAAGACCGACAAAAATGCGGCGAGCAATTTGTGTGTGGTTAAATATTGTAACAATAAAAATTATTATACATACCAACATCTGTGTCGGATCGCACTGGCGTTACTTCATTTATATTACTAGTTTTATACATGCTTTAGTAATCATACATTTTTTGGATGTAAACGAATTTATTAGAAAAGACAATAATCTCTTGTTTAAAACCTTTTATCTTTATTTTACAAATATTGTTGAAAATATGCAGTGTCAAGATAAAATTTTTAATTAAAACGGTAAATAATACAATATTTTAATGTAATTAAATCTCAATAAATAATTATCTATATAATTAATAATCTCAGTAAATAATTAAATCTCAATAAGCAGTATGCAAACAAATAAAATACTGTATTAATACTACAGATAGCAGGCTACTTCGATACTTTTTGTATTGAGCTTATGATACTTATGTTATTTTCGATTTTATTCTGTGATTCATCAAAGATTCCATAGTTTACAGGATGATTTAAATTTAGAATCTTGTTTTCATCTTTTAATCCTATAACCTAAAAATAACAATAAAGAATAAACATATTTCAATAAAATTTAATAGACGCCTGTTGCCTGTAGCATTAGTACATACTTCATAAAAGATGAAGTCAATAGAACAGAAATATTATGGTGTCTTCAAACTAATAATTCATATCTCTTTGTCTACTAAGAATAAAAATTTTTAATATTTTATTCGTTTTATTTAGTACTTCTACGGCTTTAGCTTAAAAATTTGGAAATTTTTCTAAAAGGTGACTAAAAAAATCGGGATAAGTTAGAGAATATTTTTTTCTGTTTTACTAACAACTCTGAATTATAATTAGAAACTAGGAAATGAGTGATAGCAAAGCTTGTCTCTTTAATCCAGTATATTGTGAGAAAAATAATCATTAAATATGATTGGTAGTTCCATTATAACAATATTTATTATAATCAGAAGAAAGTTTCCGAATACGAAATTTCACAAATCCAACAATCTCAATTTTAACTGTGCATCGAGTTTTTTATTTCCTAAAATAAAATACAATGTAAAAGGATGAAGCAAGAGTAGAAAATTGTATCAATGCCAGAATAGTTTGTAATTGTACAGAAAATTATATCTCACTTGATAACCTTTATTTTTAAATTAAATGAAAATTATGATATTCCAATGTGACATTTATCTCACATACAACTTCCAAAAAGATGACTCAAGAAACTATCTTATAAATCATACAATATTTTTCAAAATTAAATTGTTGATAAAATATTGCTTTTTGAAAATAATTATAAAAACTTTCATAAACTTCTTAAACGATGAAAAACTCTATGTGAATAAGTATTAAATTGCAAGGGACTACTTTTTTTAAGATAGAATTAGTGCGGTAAATTTGTTGTAAGTATTACTATCGAAGTCCAGATACTTTTAAACAGACCGCTATATATTATCAAATTTTTAATTAAAACATTATTATATATTTAAAAGATAAAATGTACACACTTCGTGTACATTAATTATCAGATCTATCTGATAATTAATCTCAAATTGTATCTTTATCATATATTTGATCATCTGAATCTATTTTAAAAACATTTATGACATTACATTTAGGAGGCAAATTGAAAGAAACAAATTAGCACGTGAAAAACAATTAAGAGAAGCAGCGGAAAGGGAAAAGGCTGCGATGGAACAGCGACTTTTACAATATCAGGAAGAGATACGATTAGCGAATGAAGCTCTTGTAAGATATAGAAAATGACATAATATAGAAAGACATAATATAAAAAATATAGAAATGAACACAAAAATATAAATTAATCTATAATTTTTACAATATAGAGAATATATATTATATACCTCTATCTTATAATAGATTTTATATTTTATAGAGAAGGTCTGAAGAGACGGCAGATCTCTTAGCTGAGAAAAGTCGCGTAGCAGAAGAAGAAGCAATGCTCTTAAGTCAAAAAGCATCGGAAGCTGAACAAGAAATTACGCGTATACGGCTGAATAACATGAAGACTGAAGAAGAAAAGGTTCATTTAGAACGTAAAACTAGAGAGGCTGAATTATTAACAGAAAGATTAGTCCAAGAATCGGAACGTAGAGCTGCTGAAGCTGAAAAATTGAAGGACGAATTATTACGTGCAAGAATTGCCGAGAAAGAAGCTAAGGAAAAATTATTAGAATTCTTAAGTAGAAATGCCTACACTGCTACCATAACTGTAAGTACATCTTTAACATTTATTTATAAACAATGCAAAAGAAAATTTGTATAATATAAATAATCATTACATGCAATATTATATACGCGCACGCGCGCACACACACACACACACACACACACACACACACACACACACACACACATGTATATATAAATTTATGAATCATTTGTCTGTCAACAGCCTGTGCCAAATCTATTTCCCTCTACGCAAGTGCTTCCCTCAGATTTACAAGCAGATCTTCAGACTTTACAACTAGAACCTTTACACACAGAACCACTACCACCTGATTTAACATCCTATGATCTTATTGGCGACGGAGATGTCGATCAACTTTCATTAGAGATTGAAAGGGAAAGAAGTGATTATTTGGAGAAGAGTAAACATTTGCAGGAACAACTACGAGAATTACGTTCCGAAATTGAAGGCCTAAAAGTCGGTGAAAAGCAGTGCGAATTGGATCAATTACACGAAGAGCAAGTTCGACTTGGCGAGAATAAATACAGCACGCTGAAAAAAGTAAAGTCTGGATCCACTAAAGCTAGAGTCGCCTTCTTTGAGGAGTTATAATTAAGTATTAACAAACTTGTATTAACAGGATATTAGTAAAATTCAATTAATAATAAAAATAAGAAAATTACAGATATACACGTGCTGAAACATACACACACAAAGAGAGAAATGGGAATATTTACAGATTATTACACATTATAAAATACTCAGTGTATTATTCATCACTGTGCTATTACATGATATTTCATTTCTTAATTAGATTGTATCAAATTTTTTAACAAATTTGAAATCTTATAAAATGTCCAATGGAGTTTTACATATTGAATATAGAAAATCATAGATTTGTTCTTTGTTGCTGTATTGAACTGTAAAATTTTTTTTCTTGTTTCCGTCAAACTTCAAATATATTTATTTTAAAAATAAGTGTACACAATAAGTGCATACTAGTTCAATTACAAAGAACAGATATATTACAGATAACAAAACATTTTATTGTAAATATACAAACAAAAAAATATCTGATAACTGAATCAGAGAACTAAATTTAAAATTTTACTTCTTGAAGAACTATTCTTGCCACTAAATTATTTTTACAATTAATATTTTACCACTCTAATAATGTTATACTAATTTTATCAATTTTAAGTGTTCTTTATAATAAAAAGTTTCACTTTTTTAAATCTTACTAATTCAGAAATGGAACATTCCGTATATACAAAACGTGTACATTTTACATTATTATGTTACAAAACAGTACATAAACTACATACATACAAATATTCAATTAATTCGCATATAAATAAATACTATATATTTGCAAAACAAATCAAAATAAATCTGCTATTTTCATATTTCAGTATGTATATGTGTACATATATTTGTTTTAATATAGCTCTTTTTTAAAATTTCAATAGATATTTTAACTACTATATATATGTTTTGTGTAGACAATTAATAAATATATAAGTGCATACGACGATACACACAAAGAGATGCAACATTTGCAACAGGAAAACAATTATATTTTTGTACAGAGTATAGTAATTGGCTTTCAAATTGTTACATTGTCTATAAGGATTAATTAAACAAATTGTAATATTGAATAGTAATTGATAATTGATAAATGAAAATGCCTCATATTTTATTTGTAAAAATACTGTGTGTGTGCGTGCGTGCGTGTGCGCGCGCGCGCGTGTGTGTGTGTGTGTGTGTGTGCGTGCGTGCGTGCGTGCGTGCGTGCGGGTGTGCGTGCGTGCGTGTGTGTGTGTGTGTGCATACCGTCATGAAACTAATTATCCGGACAGTATGCTATTGTATATTGTATTGATTCTTCAAATCATTGTTCTGGGTATCAAAAATATGTTGCACGCACGTATTATGGAATTGGTAATTTCACAATTAGTTGTCCAAATATAAATAACATCTAGATAGTTTGATGAAATAATCGATATATAATAGAGCACTGTCCATTAGTTTCATGACTATATATTTTATTGCCTTAAATACTTATATTTGATGTATGTATGTACGTACATTTCCTTGAGCAAACACAATTAAGATGCATATCTAGTTACGAAACTAATTATCCAGACAGTGTCTATATCGACACGAATTTCTTCAAACGGACAGTTTAAAAAAATCATCGATCAATGGCGCACTGTCCAGACAATTAGTTTCGTAACTATACATATACATGTATGTATGCGTATGCATGTGCATATGTATGTGTATAAAATGTAATTAAACACACACATACACACATATATATATATATATATATATGTATATATGTATATAGGGGTGGGCCGAATAAAGTTTTGAAAATCGATTTAGCAATACCCCCCAAAAGTTAGCTATGATATGGGATTAATATCTTCAGGTTGCCTCTCAATCTTGAAATTAATAAGTTTATGCATTTTTTGCAAATTACATTTTTTTTTAAGCAACTGTGTTTTCTTTACACCAATCGATTCATCTCATTATTCTGAACCTAAAAATATTAAAGTGCTATTATCAAGAAATCAATAGTTTATGAGATATTTCATACTTTATATCGAAATATGACATGATAAAGTATAAGATATCTCGTAAAATATTAATTTTTTGATAACTTTATTTTAATACTTTTATATGCAGAATAATTAGAGGAATCATATTATGTAAAAAAATATATATAATTCTATTTTAAAAAATCGATGTAATCTTGATGGTCTAACCTTAACGACGCCACCTAAGATGAAATCAATGGTACCATCTTAATTGGGTCCTCCGAATTATACAATTTTTGTTTGAAACATTTTTCCGTAATTCTATCTACCATAATTTTCAAGAAATCTTAACGTACTCGTATTATTTAAAATGGGACATCCTGTATAAGAATATATTTCGGAACCTGATCTATTTTGAAATGTGTATTTCTGATCTCGGATTTGTGTTTAGCAACCAAAAAATAACAGGTAATACCAAATTGTATTAAAATTCAAATATTTTTTTCGTATTTTGACACATCTATCCAAGAAATGCATAAATATAATAATTGTAAGATCGAGGGGCAACCTAAAGATATTCATTCAATGAAATTTTACCCATATTGAGGTCCATAGCTAACTTTTTGAGGGTATTGCTAATCGATTTTCAAAAATTTATTTTTTTTGGCTCACCCTAATATTTACATATATAGGAAGCACAATTGCATGAAAAGTAATTATGAATATTTAAAGAAAAATTTCATTATTATCAAACTAATGTTTCATACATAACATTATAACAACACTGAATATACCTGTAGGGTGTAATTTAAATACCATCCACTAATTACATAGCGTTAGTCCTTGTAAAAAAACAGTCAAAGAGCCCTGTATTATTTTTTTCTACAGTTTTTCTAAATAAAGCGATCACTACTGCTGTAATTATTGCTTCATTAAACATTATAGACAAAAATAATTCTTAAATAGCACTCACTAATCATATAGCGCTACTCCTTATAAAAAAAATTCAGTCAAAAAGTTCACCTGAACCATTTTTCTCTACAATGCTCAATGAAGCAATAATTACTGCAATAATGATCACTTCATTGTGCATTAAAGAAAAAAAATCATTCAGAACTTTTCGACTCAGTTTTTACAATAAATATTAACGCTATATGATTAGTGATCGGTATTTAAGTTACACTCTGTACATATTTGGAAAGATATTTTTAACTTATAAAAATGGATTCTAATATTTAAGAAGTCTTTTACGAAATCCTTTCTTTATTATAACTTCTAAACTAACAAAATTGAATCCAATTATTTAGAATTTATTATTTTAAAATAATGAACGATCAATTAAAAGGTTGTAACACTTTTTATTTTGATGGATGTTAGAACGCAGTTTATATTTTATAGTAGATCCACCATGATTTATAATAGTAAATTAATATCGTTTAAGCATTGGCGTAATCTATTTCTGAAATCTGTGAATATAAGTAAAGAATATGATTTAAACAAACGTATGTATATACATACACCTCAAATACCTGAAGTAATTGCAGAATTATGTAACATCTTAAAATTGCATAATCCAACTTTATAAACATTTAATTCGACTATTTTATTACATATGAACATATAAGATTAAAACTAAAAGCAATATTGAGCAGTATTGTCTATAAGTAAATATGAATGTTATAATTTTGTTGCTACTAGCTTGATCAGTTTATTTATCTTGGAATTGTTTGATTGATTTTAAAATTTATTTCCGATGCTTCTCTTATTTTTTAATTGGAAATTAGCCTAAAAAAATATTAATTGCACTTTTTATAAAATATTCAATAGTTTAAAATATTCGATAAAGTTAATAATTAATTTCTGATACCTCATGCATGTTCGATTATTTTTAATGTAATATATAGTACAATATAAATTATTATGAAACATTTAAATTGACATTATATATTAATTACTGATCTTGATGTATCTATCAAATAGTAAATATTTCCATTATATTTTGCACATAGTTTATAAATATTTAAGTAAAATGTATTACAATTTATAAAAATAAGAAATTGACATTTTTATTATGTATGGAAATAATATTATCCAAAGCTATTAGAAGCTATTACATATCTTAAGAAAAATGTGCCTTGTTGTAATAGTTTATTTTACTTTTTTTTTTTTTAATAACGTGATATGTATATAACCAGTAGTCATTCTAAGCACTTAAAATGCATTAGAAACTTGATATTACACGATTATTAACACATCTAAATTATTTTGGAGTGTTGTCATATTCTTTGACTGAACATATATTTTATTAGATTATCATTGTAAAACTGAAAAATTAAACTACTATTTTATTCAAATATAGATTTATATTTTATAACATATATAAAATTATGTCATATTTTAGATAATGAAAGATAAAATTGAAGAAAAAAAATTACACACACACACACACTATATACAGGGTGTCCCATTTTAAAACTTCCACGCGATTATCTCAGAAAGAAGGCGTTTATCGAAAAAATGTTTCAGACAAAAGTTTTCGGACTTCGAGGGGGGCATAAGATGATAACATTGGTTTGACCCTTAGTGGCGTCGTCAAGGTCAGGACAAGGTCACTTTGAATTTTTTAAATGGAACCCCCACTTTTTCATTACATGTTCTTATAGCACGCCTCGAGAACTTTCCAAAACACATAAATAAAATATTTTTTTATGAAATAAATCTTGAGT